AATATTAAGTGTCACAAATTCATTCCAAGAAGCATTTATTCCCAAAGCACTGGACCAGAAATTTCCAATTGTATTAAATGACTTGCTTAACACAGATCTCCTTCAGGCACCGTTCAGGGATATTATGGAAGTCTGTGAAAAAGTGCAAGTGACTGTGACAAAAGAAGAATCGGACTGTGTTGAGAAAGCAACCAAACAACAAGCTACCACAAAGCTATGGAACAGATTTCTTAGTGGTCGCATAACAGCACCCTGCATGTATGCAGCTTGCCACAGCAACCCTGCATCCCCATCTGAAAGCTTAATAAGGGCCATATGCAACCCAGAAATTTCAAAGTTACAAACACCAGCAAGTACATGGGGCTGTACACATGAGAAACAAGCCCGTGAAGTCTACAGTGAGGCAAGGCGCCATATCCATGACAACTTTACAGTTGAAGATCCCGGATTTTGCATTAACACAAGCTATCCTGTGATTGGAACCTCCCCGGATGGGTTTGTGTCTTGTGGTTGCTGTGGCCAGGGAGTAGCTGAAATCAAATGTCCAAATTGTGTGCGGTCGACATCCCTGAGTCTCTACACTGGAGGAAAATATTGCTTGGAGGATACACCAGATGGACTTCGACTTAAAAGAAACCATCAATACTACAATCAGATCCAAACACAGATTTTTGTATGTGAAAAGGAGTATGCAGACTTTGTCGTATGGACAGAAAAAGATACCGGGTATTCACATGGAAAGAATTGAACCAAATAATGAACTGTGGGAGGAAATGAAGACCAAAGCAACTGACTTTCACTCATTGGCTGTTATGCCTGAACTTGTTGGGAGGTCTTTTTCAAGGAAGTTTACTCCAACATCCTTGGTTGAACTGCTGGAATCGGACACACTTTTCTGTTTCTGTAGGAAAGGAGAAACTGACACAATGGTGGCCTGTGACAACCGTAATTGTCAATTTCAACGGTTCCATCTATCATGTCTGAGGCTGACAGAATCAAACCTACCTAAGGGGAAATGGTACTGTCCCGATTGCAGCCAAATCCAAGAATTTAAGCCAAAGCGACGATGCAGTAAGAAGTGACTTGTGTATTTTATTTCAGATTGTAGAGTGTCTTTGTCGACTTGATTAGCTCGTTATCTGATGCAATCTCTCATTGTTATATATATATTATAAAACTTATAATTGATGATGATATTGTCAGGATAAATATGTACAGTATACCGTATAATCCCTATTAACCGTCCTTTACCCTAAGCGCCCCCTTAGGTCTTTTCAATTATCAGGAAATAAGGGCCCCCTGTAAGTGATAAAAATCAAATAGAATCGTATCAAAAAAATTAAGACAGTGAAAATGAAATTTGTCTATCATCCAATTTTTCAGTGGAAAATGAACAATTTAGCATAATTTGGGTGGATTATCTTCACTTTAAGTAAACTTAGACATTATCTTAGTTGTTTCTTGTATTTATTTTTATTTTCAAATGATTTTTTGAAGTTAAAATATGACATTAAATATCATAAAGAGAACACCAAAATAACCGCCCCCTTTTTGCAATTTTCTACCGCCCGGGGCGGTAAATAGGGATTATACGGTATTCAACTATTTCTTTAATGCATGTTTAAATGTTCATTCCCTGTGCACTGTCAATATGAATATGATTATTGCTTATTCTTCTCATCGTTCTAGCTATTTAGAAAATAAGCAATAACAATGAAATGATAACTTCAGTGTTTGTCTTCTTTTGTTTGCATTTTGAATATATCTTCAACCAAATTTAGTTCTTGTGTCTTCCATTACATATATTTCCTGTTTGCAGGGGATGCAATGCGAAGAAGCAAATGGATTTCTTGACATTAAACTGAGAACAGACTGAAGTTAAAATTTAAGATTTTGAATATTGTTTGTACTGTATTGTACCAATGTGAAATTGTGAATACAATCATTTAATTTCATAAAAAATATTTAACTTTAATACATTAACTATGTATTTTAACTTGAGTCTGTTCTCATTTTATGGTCTTGAGGGGAAAAAAAGAAGTTTTTTTGAGTTCCATAACTGACTTTGATTTATGGCTGATTTCATCAAAATCCAATTCATCTCAGGCTTACATCAATACTACCTCAAATAAGAAAAATCAAAGACAATTTTAATATATTTATCTCATAAATAAATGAACTATAACATGTAAAAATAACAAAATAAAAAATCAATTATTAATAAGAAAAATAAACTATGAACTATCTTTGCAAACAGGTGGCACAATGTGCATAATGATATTTTTTCAACCTATTGGCACAACATGTATATTCGTCTATGACTGATCAATAACATCATTAACACGTATAAAACAAAAGTAAAATATAATTTCATAGATAAACTATGAACTTTTTCAACAATTGGCACAGTTATATGAATTTTGACTGACTTTTAAAACAGCGTTTGAGCATCCTTTTTTTAAAATCTGTTGGCAGTATTACACATTCTTTGACTGTACTGTAACAACAAACATTTCTTCAATCAAATGGTACAACTGACTTGCACATATTCGTCAAAGCACAACAAACATTTACAATTTTGTCTATTGTTGGTGTAGAACCATTTACGGAAATCAAATAGTCCAAAGGCACGGTATCCTCTAATATTTCATACTTGTTTCGAACAAGTCCAATTACACGTTCCACGTGAATCCTCACATGGGCTAATTTTCGGGTGCGCTCCACATCTAAGGCTGATAACTGGGTTCTCCCTTTTGTAAATGCAGGGATTTTTAATTCGCAGCTTACTTGTGCAAGAGTTTCTGCTATGTCAAAACCCTATCTGCTAAAACAATGTCCCCATACTCAAGGTTTGTCTAACAATCCACAGTCTCTTGTAATATGTTTGTCAGTTGACCGGCCACCATACCCTTTACTGATGAAGGATATGACTCCCTGTGATTATATCCCAATTAAAAACTTGACGGTATTATGGTGTTTATATGATGACCAGGTTTGTGCACGGGCTTCTAAATTGGAAGGCCTTTCGATGAAAACTTCAAAGCAGTCAATAATTATGGCCACTTTAAGTCCAAAATGCTTTCCGAACTCCATGGGCATTGTTAATCATGTTAATCTTCGTTCATCCTGGGTTGGCCAGTAAATCAAGGGATGAAGTTTGCAATGTAGAACGTGCAATGTAGAAAGAAAGATCCTAGATATACATGATGATGATAACAGGAACTTCTCAGCCAAATAACTCACTGGCAAATTGAGTTTCAAACGCATTAAAATCATCACTAGTTTCTGGAACTTTGACAGAGAACTCTGGTTTCCCTGGGGGATTGCGGACTCAATAAATGAAAGCAAAGTCATCAACACAGAAAATGCCGGAAGTCCTGTAAATAACTTTATTTTCTCATCATCATCCTTACATGTGTCTTCTTATATAGTAACACTGGCTAGTTTCTCCCTCAGCTGGATATTTTCGACTGTCAAACGGTTAAGTTCAGAGTTCATAGCACCTATAACATCACTACTTTAATATGTTTGGGTGCATTTACCCATATCGGTCCCAGATTCTGTCACGTCTGAATCAGAAGCACTCGTAGAACTGGTTGAATTTACACTGACACAAGCCTCTTCACAGAGTTCGGATTCCCGGGCGTTGAACAAAGATTTCAAGGACTTACGAGCTTCCACACACTCCTCGCCCTCTCCTCTCCTTCAATCTCTTCCCCGTTGTTGATGTGGGTGTGGTCAGTACTTTCTGGTGTCCAAGGTTCAGAGATGGCCCCCAGTCAAGGTCTGCCTCCCTATAAAGTGGTGCTGGCTTTCCTACAATTGTTTAAAGTTATTAAGAACAGACTGTCACAATATGAACAATAAATTGTTTAAACTGTTATATACCATTGAAATAATTTTTCATCAAGTTTATGAAATAAAGAACTTAAAGATAACATAAGTGTGTGTGTGGGGGGGGGGGGGGCAGCCTTTCAATGAACACTTTCGATGGTAAATTAATGTTATTTTTGGAAAAGTGGTGAAGGGGCAGGCCCCTTCCTGATGCTACATGCCTGTATGGTCTAATATTTCATATAAAATGCCATTCAAATAACGAGTAAACGACATGCTGTACTTAAAAACAATATCATCATAATAAATTAGTAAACTACATTATATATAATTCTTTTAATGAGGGCATGTCTAAGCCGAGATTCCCAAATCTTAGCCAATCGTTGTTATTTTTTAAAACTACAATACAGAAATATACTTAACATAAAACCGTTTACCTGATTCAAAATGATCGGAAAAGACTCGTACATAGGGGTAGGACGATGGCGTCAAATCTGCCCTGCTAATACGTGAAAGCCTTAATCTCCCCCGTCTCTCAGATGTGTTCTCTCGCCTTGATTTGTAATTATAGCGGGTAAACGATAAAACGACACTTTATCCCTCCCCCCAGTGTTCGTACAGCCAATAACAGCACAGTAGTTAACCATTATTTACATGTTTACGCTTTGGCGCTTTGCCCTAGTTTCACCTCCAAGATGGCCGCCGCTATTAAAACCGGAAGATGCCTGACGTCACATGAAAACTATATATACATATCATAACATCTGTAATGACTCCTTTATGACAAAATATTTCTTCATAATTTCTTTTTGTTTCCTTTATAATTCTACTTTGTTTGCATGACTTCATCAAAAATAAATTCAACTCAGTAATATAGAAGTTTTTTTCTACATTATGAAACAATTGTCATCCAATGCACTTTTAAAATATGGTAAGTATGAATAGAATTTCCTGGCTTTAAAAGCTATGAAACTATACAAGAACTTCAGGGAGTAACTTGAATTTTTGAATTTCAGCAAAAAATTAATAATAACAGTGGCAACTTTCAAGGTACAAGTACATGTGCATGTGTATGAGTTGAAAGTACATCAGATAGCTAATCTATTGAATATTTACATCTATGTATTCATTGATTGACATTTATAATTTTTTTCCAACACAATATAATGGAGAACCTAGTTTCAGGTAAATTGTAAGATATTTAAGACTATTGAGAACCTACAAACTTGTACTCTCTCTTTTTTGTACTTTAAGTTTTAGTTATGCTTAGAAAATATCTACTGTGTGAATATTTGTTTTATAGGTTCAATATACAGTCAGCCTCTCATAAGAGAATATTCAAAGATCCAAAGCTTGCTTCAAAGTTAAGGTAACTACACACTGTATAATAGACTTTGTTATATTCTTCCCAACAAAGTTTGGGATATCCTGGAATCACAAAGTCTGTTTTTCTGCCTATCTACTTGTTTGTAATTTTTTGTCCAAAAGTAATATATTTGTGTCAGAATCTTCTTAATTTTTGGCAATTTGAATTATACATGTATAATACTATTTGAACATTCCAAATTCAATTGTCAAAATTTAAAAAAAAAATTGCTTTTATATGATTTTGATATGAAGCATATCTTCCAATAGTGTAATATTGTCTTGCAAAATTCAATTCCATTGTCAAAAATAAAAAAAAAATGCTTTTTATAATTCTATTATGAAGCATGTCTTCCAAAAGTGAAATTGTCTTGCAAATTAAATCATAGGATTTCACAAAACATCTAGTATAACATATATACTCGTAACATTAGTTTTATCTCGTATCTTATCTGTGTCGATAAGTTTGGAATACGTTTATTTGCTGATAAAAAGTTACTTTAATATAACTTGTAGAATTCATTTTTTAATTCAAGAATTATATTATTTTTAATTTTTTTTAAATTTTTGTAGAGACTATTCTGTGCCACAAAGAAATTGTTCAGGAAGGGGATTTGCATTTTTGGTACAGTTCAAAGGGATTCTCAAAATAGTCAGATCAGAGGGAGGACAACTGGAAATATTGAAAGACAGAGAAGGAAAAACAACAAGGAAATACATGAAATAATTATGAATTGGGGAGGATGTACACAATCTTGTCTGAATTTGACCTGTAAAGATTTCCCTTTCTTATTTGTATACTGGAATATCAAATAACTTGATTTTTTATAAATTTACAATAGAGAATACATGACAAATGTTATTGCTGATATTTCAATTTTGCTGTGGACACTTTCATGTCATATGGTATTTTCATACAAGTACATGACTTAGTTATGTTATTCATTCATCCTTGTACAATGTAAGGCTTATTTCTGATCAAAATTCTAACAAAGTTACACAACATGAATTTGAAATAAAGCTGAAAAATTTTAAACATAAACTGAATTATTAATAAGGAGGAAAAAACAAACAAACATGATTTCATTAACGTTTATTTTGATATTTGCGATTGTTGGTCGTGACATTTAAAAGCAGCAAGGGTGTGCCAAGCAGGGTGACCCCAAATTACAACAAGCAGCAACAGCAGCAAACGACATGAAAGCACAATATTACATGTACATGTACATGTATACATGTTTAACTACTTAATCATTTTGCTGAAATCTTATAATTTGTACTCATTTTATAATATGTTAAATACATGTATCGACAAATGATACTGACTTGTTTGTATATTTTCTTGTTTAGAATGTACACTGTGAAAAATAAGTTATTTCTCTTGATGAGAATAATATTATTTAAAAAAAGTTGTATAAGCATTATAAGATATTTTAAAATATTTAACCGATGAAGATAGATCATTGTAATGGAATAAATTTTCATCTAAAGCAGAAATATCTTATTTTTGAATGTGTACAAGAATGTAAAAAAAATATTGAAAGAAAACACACATAGCTGTTTCATATGATTTACATGCCCTTTTCATATGATTCTCATATGTAAATGGCTTGAAACACACATAAGTGTTTCATATGATTTACATATGATGCCCTTTTTGTATGATTCTCATATGTTAATGGCTTGAAACATACTTAAATCATTCATATGCAAATCATATGTAGTTATTTTCATATGATTCACATATGTGGATCATATGTAAATCATATGATTTGCTTCATATGATTCACATATGATGCCCTTTTTTATGATTCTCATATGAAACCAAACATATGATTCTCATATGATACTCATAATATTTTGTGAATCATATGTGGCTAAGTTGCATGTGTATGTGAATTGTTTATGTATTGTCTGGGGTCCTGGACGTTTTAAGTCTCATCAGAAGACCCCTCAACTTTCACCTCAAAGTGCCGAGCGCTTGGCGAAGGAACATCGGCAAACTCTAATTTTCTTTTTATCGACTTAGGTCTATTGTGGTCGTAATTACACACAACCTTCTGATCACAGGACAAGTGCTCTGTCGACTAAGCTACCGTGATTGAGCCTTCCCAAAAAAGGAGAATGTTTATATAATAAAAATAAATCAATAACAATGTTAACAATATACCCACAAAAACATACAAATCATGTATGTAGTATTTTGAGATAATCAAAAATCGTTGCATTATTTCAGGTATGCTGACGTTTTACGGCATCGATGTATCACAAGAGGTTTATGCCTGGATAATTGTTCTTGTGTTGCCCATTAATTCTGCACTCAACCCAATACTGTACACTTTGTCTTCTAATATTCGAGAACATAGACGAAGCAAGGTAAACACTTGAAAATAGTGCCAGGGTATGTGCTTATTTTCATATTAGCCATTGAATTATGATGAAATTGAATTATAGTTGAAAGTGTTACTATTTTATCTATAATTTTTTTCTTTTATTTGGAACATAATTCTGCGGAAAATCATCTTAGATGTTAGGGAAACCAACTTGGTTTTATTATTTTTATATAAAAAAAATACATTAAAGAAACTGTTTAATTATTTATATTGTATATAATTGATCTTGACTTGAGGACATGTCAAGTTGCGATAAAATCTACCATCTACTAGGTATTTTAGGGACCTTCTCAAAATGCAGATTCTAGTATTATAGGGAAATGTGTCAATCTTAGTACTCAAAAGCAAATTGGAGAAAAAATCCGGACCACCCGCTAGGCACGTCCGATCAGTCAGTCATAGGTACTTTAAATTGGCAATCAGTAAAACAGTACACTCCACGAGTATTATACGAATATTTATAGGCAAAAGAGATTAATGTACAACGAGAAAAGGAGTTGTTTTCACGAGAAATTGATCGTCTTCAATCTCGATTAAAAGCCATAATAGTAAGTCTCTCTCTCTATCCCTCTCTCTCTCTCTCTCTCTCTCTCATGTGCTCTTCTTGTTTGGGGGAATATTTTGTGTTGACTTTCGTTGTTTAGTTGCTAATTTTATTATTTTGTTGATAAACTTTTGCCCCTCTTTTAAAATATTGTTTTGTAATATTACTTGTTCCAGTACATTTATTTCTTAACACCTAAAAACGAATGCACAGTTTAATTGAAATTTTTGGATATACTCTTGTTTAGCAGGTATAAAGGGTTTGATTTTTTAAACCTATTTTCTTTCTTTCGTGGGAATTTCTTAATTGAGATATTGATACGTTTTCATTTCAAAATAATAAATATTGAGTTTCCAATTATTCTAGCATCATTTTGTACACGTAAAGTTTCAGTACAAAGTGTTATAGAATATACAGTGTCACCAAAAATTCTCATGTAAAGAGATGTTGTTTTACAGGAATTTTAGTCGTTATCATATGCAAACAAAAATTTTCTTACCAAATCTACAAGATTATGAAGCAAAAAGATATGGAGATAACGAACAGTTTTCAATCTCAAAGTCCATAAAACAATACAAAATAAGAGCAGAGCAAACATGGAACCCCAAAACACCAAAACATCAGAGGTGGGATCAGGTGCCATGGAGGAGTGAGCATCCCCTGCCGACCGATCACACCCGCCCTGTGCTCCTTGTCATAATCAGGAAATAACGGAAAAAATCTGTCGTCAATTCATTAAATAATGGACTAACAATTGGTATGAAAAACGTGAGTCAGCATTTGACTCAATGATAAATCGTATTTGCTGACAAGGTCATTGTATTGACCATAGAACTTACGAAATGATGACTTTAAACGAGACTGCTGATATTCTTGGTTCATTAACTTGCTTGTCAATAATTTACCTCGTTTCAGAAATTGTTCATACTTAGAGCATGCTCTTGCGTATCGAATCAACTGAGATATATATGTACTCCGTATGCAGGTGATGAAGGTATATTGCTGCATAAGTAAGGGAAGTTGACGATAGAAAAGTTAAAGTCATCACGTTTATCATATAGTGTGGTTGTTAGATTACCATTAGCATCTTTTTCAAGTAAAATATCCAAGTATGAAACAGAAGTGTCAGACTCTGTGGTATCTTTTATCTCAAGCCCACCAGGATATATCGCATCGACGTAGAAAAGCAATTAGCTTTAACAGAATTAAATCACAGTTTTATCTGGAAAGATATTTTTACTTGTTAGTTTATTCAAATTCCATGCAGCTTTGAAAATTGACTAAAGCAACAAAATGTATTTGAATTTAACAATTTGATTTAGAATATTTTTGTGAACTTTTTGCAGAAAGAGAAGGAGATGTTCTCACAAGAAAATGACAATCTTGCACGACAAGTGAAATTGCTAAAGGTAAATGTTTTAGTCTTTTGTGGTTCAGTATTTTATACAATTTTTTTTTCTGGAAATGATAGCACTTTGTATCACAATAGTTTGTTAGCTTAAAATGCATTAACATCAGTTCATTACTTAAAATTTAAACCTAACCTTTCAAACAAAAACTTATCAAATTAGCAGAATTTCTGAACTAACACACTTGATCATTACTTTTACAAACTCTTACAAAAATAAAATTGACAAAGAGGAACACTTTGCAGATGTTCATATTTGACCTTTGAATTTTATTATACAAGTGGAGAGGAATTTTGTTTTTCAATCAATTTTATCCAAGAAGTTGGGCAGAATTTTTGTCATTAATATTTTAAAAAACCATATCATGCAGTAAAAAAATATCAAGGTATTGAAATTTCTTATTTTTAGCTTTTCGTTAACTTTTCCAATTGATCCAGGCCTGTCTTGAAAATAAATCATAACACGGAGTCATACATGTAGGCTGTAATTTCATATTTGAGGTTGAGGCATTCCTATCCTTGCAGCTATGAGATTGAAAAAAAATAGTTAACATAAATTTTTAGCAATATATTGGAAGAAAAGTTGGTAAAAAAGCATATTTATCCTCTGTCGCGATTTTTCTATCTATGAGTTAGCCAGGAAGTATTTAAGGTACTCTGATCCTCAGATTCTGAAAATCAAGCATTGACTAATAGAAAATGCTCACGGACACGTCGCTGATTTTTCAAAGTAACGTGTTTTTACCCACAATTAATCTTCAAACTTTATCTTTGAAGTTAATCACATTCTATACTGTAAAGAAATTTAATAAATCTCAAATATATTTTCAGGGATTGCGATTAAAAACAACAGCTATGCATTTTCCAGTTCAAATTTGATGAATTAACACATTTTGAAAAAAAAATCATAGGTATCAAGGCTTTTGAAGAAATTTCACAATTTTTATACATGTAATGTACTTTAATTTCTTTTATTTACTTCGATCATTTTCTATTCAAATTGTATAAAGATTCTCCTGTCATTGCAAAGCACCATAAAGCACTTCTGATTTTATATCTTATTAATAAACATTGGTATATATATGGTTAGATTAAAATGAACACCAATTTCTTGATATATGTAATTTTAAAATGCCTAAACGGGGTAAGAAAATTCAACTTTTTATCTAGGAACTTCAAAAAACCTTGAAGCACTTGAGAGGTACATAATGAAAATTGTTGCGTGAAAAGATTTAATTTTCAAGCTTAATTTTAAAACTTTTTGAATCAAATTATAAATAATAGAGTTGTCCTTCCTGGTTGAGGATCGGAGTCCCTTTAACACATTTGAGAAATTTATAGAATTTTCAATATTCATTCATCCTGTTACAGAATATCATATTGATATTTTCCCTGTGATAGATTTTCTTTAGTACATAAATAACTGTAGTACTTTTAATTTCAATTTTTATTTTTTTACTTCTTTTTTATTGCAGGCAAGGGATTCTGAATCAGAAGGAGTGAACATGACAGGAGACCACTAACTAAGCAAATTATATTTATCACAAGCAAGCTTTATTTTTTACATCTGATACTGATCAAAACTGATAACTAAATTGAATAAAAGATTGGCAATGTTGTTTGATTCTTTTGTTTTTAAATTCCTTGCTAAATCATTTCATAGCTGCTTGGTGGACACAAATTTGATATTATTTTTTTTTCAAACTTCTGTATTATTTCATTAAATATATATGGTGCTTTAGCATTTTGTACTGATTTATAATAAAAATCTTTACGTTATTGTAACTCTAAGTTATTGAAACTTTGAATTCATGACTAGGTCATTGACATATCTTTTCACAATTTTCAATTATATTCTCATTACTTTAAAAGAATGGCAATTTTGTTGTGTATTAGTGAAAAATATTAAAACTATAATCCAGAAAATTCAATGTAGAAATGTTAGAAAGTAAAACTCACACACATGGCAATTTTGTTGTGTATTAGTGAAAAATATTAAAACTATAATCCAGAAAAATTCAATGTAGAAATGTTAGAAAGTAAAACTCACACACAGTTTTGTCAGTCCATGCTCAGTGGTGTGTGCTGAGTTTAATACTTGGCGAATTCTAAACATATACAATAACAAAGCTCATGCTCTGTTTACAAAAACAATTTACGTTTCTCGGGTGTACTAGTGTTTAGTTTGTTAAACTGTGTACACAATTAACACTAAGCACTGACTGGTGAAAACAGTGAGTTAGTTTTTGCTTTTGAACATTTCTATTCAATCTGTATTTTCTGGATTATGTATGTAATAACTTTCATTACTAAAACAACAAAATCGCTAATTCTAAAATATTAAGAATGAAGTTCAAATTTGTGAGCGGGCATGAATGTGTTCATCATACGCGTTCCGGAACTCGTAGGTCCAATAACTTGCAGATAAAAAAAGATTTAATTATATTTTCCTATGAAATGCAATTGCAATTTAAGTCGTAATGTTATGCAAAAAAATTGAATATCTGCTCACCTGAGCCGAAGGCTCAATTGAGCTTTTCTGTTCAAAATTTGTCCGTATTTCGTCGTCGTTGTAAATTTTTCACATTTTCATCCTCTTCTGTGTCTAAACACCTTTAATTGAATATAGGTAAGACGATTCACATTTACATCTTTACAAGAAATGGCCATTCAGCCATGGGGTTTGTGATGGTACTTATTGTCGTTGACGAAATATGCATTTGCCATCACTGCATATTTCAACGTTCAAAAGCATGCATTTGCGTATTCTAATGCCCTGTTCCGAATACGAATTTAACTTGCGGTAAATAACTGCGAACTAAAATAATGCGAATTAAATTGCGTTCACATAGCAGCTAATGCGAAATAAACTAGAATGAAATTTTTTTTTAATTTTAAAAAGAATACAATAGGCTATTGTGACGTCATTTGCAAATCACGTATAATGTCACTCTCTGTTTATACATTTTAGCGATTAAAACACTTTTTCATAGTTTTTCACTCAAAAACTAGCACAAGCACGAGTTATTAAATCTGTCCACTGACATGTGGCATTTGACTTCTTCTAGCCATTAAGCATGCCTCAAAATTTAATTCGAATTAGTTCGAATTCATTTACGAACAAAGCTTTAAGGGCCCCTAGCTCTTTTATATCGTATAACGTAAGTTGAAATATGCTTCATGTAGACAATGAGACAATTTTTGATCCGGAAACGCAACATCTTGTGACGTACACGTAGACAATTTCGTTAGACAGAAAGGATTGAATCTTTACCCAATCAAATGACATGTTACAACTAACATGAGGTTATATACAAAATGTTTAGTGAAAGAAGAGCAATGGTGTCGCCGCCGACATTATATAAGGCGTCAAAATACACTGGTACATTTTTTTATCATGCCAAGGTATTTGAAACTATGTTTCAGTTTTAAGTTTGTTCGGCTAGATATAAAAATGAATCATGCCATCACCTGAAAGACACTAGCAACACAATTAATCATTTCATTTAGGTTTCTGATTTCTTTTTCAAAGCTACACCACCTTAACTAAATTAAAATCTACAAAAATGAACAACAATTAAAGTTAAAGTTATTATGAAAATCAGCTATAAAACAATTTATAAGCAACGAAACGTATAGGGCATTGAATCTTATTTTCTTATTTTTTACAAAAGGTATAGATAAAGACAGGAGTGTTACATGTATGATCATATTAAATAGTTTTACACCGTTCACGGTAGCTCAGTCGGTAGCGCGCTCGCTCCGTGATCGGGAGGTCGTGAGTTCGTACCTCGGCCGCGACTGACCCAGTCGATAAAATGGGTAGCAACTGTTTCTTCGCCATGCACTCAGCACTTTAAAGTGAAAGTTGCGGGTCCTTCGGATGAGACCTTAAAAACCGAAGCCCCGTGTCAGCGACAGGCGTTGGCACGATAAAGATCCCTCACTGCTCAATGTCCCAGAGTGCCGAGTAAAGGTCAAATTTGAAGCCCTTCACCGGCATGCGGTGACGTCTCCATACGAGTGAAAAATTCTCGAGAGGGACGTTGAACAATATACAATCAATCAACCAATCAATATTAAATAGTTTTATAAATGACAAATATCTCTACACTACTGAATTAAATATCCCCTTAGATTCCAAAAAATCCCCTGTTGTCCCCCTGTCAGTCCCTGACATTTTCCTGTCTCTCCCTGACTTTCTCCTATGATCCCCTGTCGTTGTCCCTGCTCTCCCTGTCCAGTCCCTGTCGTCCCCTGTCGTTGTCCCTGCCTTCCCTGTCTACTCCCTGTCGTCCCCTGACATTTATTTTGGCCAAGAAAAGGAGTTTTAAAAATATTTTTGTTGCATTTAAGAGTGAAAAATGATATAGTCTTGAAAACTTTAAGTATTTTTTGAAAATATAGACTTGGTAAAAACTTATTTTTAAATCCCTTAACTTAATCCCCTGCAATTTAGTTTCTACTACTAGTATCAATGAGATTTTTTTTTAGTTTGATAGCATTTCGGGGGGAGAACAGCAGAGAATTACATCGTTCTTGAGAAGAAATAAATTACCAATTTATTTCATCTTGTGATGGTAGACGGCATATACATTATGCTTTATGAACCTTTTATATATATTTATAAACGTTTTCATTTTTTATTTGATCTACTTTGAAACATCTTTGAGCGTAATAACTGTCTTTGTAAAAGAACTAGATTTAAACATTTGGGAATACATTATCAATGCCATGCATGGGATATTTTTTTCCCCCAAAGAATTAAATGAATAAAAAATCAATTGAAAGGAATGATATATAAAATTAATTGAAAGGAATGATATATAAATGCATTAATAAAATAAATGCCTAATTAATAAATAAAAATTATTAGATAAACTATAAATCTATTTTATTCATTTATTTTCTTATGTGAATAAATCTACAAATTGACTGAATTAAGAATGAATGAATAAATAGATAAATAGATAAATAAATAATGAGAATTATATAAATTTATTCATTTATTTTTATCAGTTCTCATACAAAGAGAAAATGTTATTTCAAACAGACGCAAACTACACACGGTCGTCCGGCCACAACATAAACAAGGTATAGCGGTCAGTGAGAAAGATAATAGGTGTCATGACTGTGTACCCCGAGTTAATTACTTTGCTTTGATTTTCTTTCAGAATCGTGTTAGGGTTTTGAAAATCGATTTTTTTTTCAATAAAATCAATGTATCAAAAATCAAATTGACAGATTAATATTGTGCATAATGAGACGATTATTTTGATATCCATCATGTACTTAAAATAATAAAAGTCGTTTTAATACGCTAATAAAATACTTTGTGGCATATCTACGGATGCAAGTGTTTATATAAAATAAAACTAAAGAAACACAGACTCTTAACTAAAATACATAAATTAAATCGGTCATTGTGTCAAATTATCTTCAAGCATATACTTATAATAGTTAAATCAACTAAAACCACGGTAAGAAGTCTCCACTTGGGGAGCGGATCGTACATTTTGGCCTAGCTGCAGATCTGTAGCTCTCCGAAAAATATATATATATATATATATATATATATATATATATATATATATATATATATATATATATATATATATATTTAATTTGATGATCCTTAACTGTTTTGTCCAGTATATATATATATATATATATATATATATATATATATATATATATATATATATATATATATATATATATATATATATATATATATATATATATATATATGGACAAAAAATTTAAGGATCATCAAATTAAATATGTTTTATAAATACAGTATCATAGAAAACAGAATGCAGTTTTAATTTTAGTATCATATTATATATTTAAAAAGTGAAAATTAAACATTGGATGTGATAATTTCGTTTGAACACACGGTACGAATTGTTCATTAAGGTCACTTTAGAATTTGGCATGTTGGGGGGTAGACGTGAAAATGAGATTTTTTTCCGAAGAGTTAAATTACGTCACTAAAGTGATTGCCAGTATTTTGTATGACCTCCCCGCAAGGCCCTGTAGAGCAGACACATGATGCCCGTCAGCCGTCCAAGGCTAGTCTGAGGGATCTGTGGCTATTCCTCCTGCAATGCTGTCTGAAGCTCCCGTCGATTTTGGGGAAGTGTAAGACGAACTGAAATTCGTTGCTAAAGAATGTTCCAGGCATGTTCAATTAACTTCAGGTCTAGAAAACGACTTGGCGGGTTCATACGCAGAGTTGTTTCATTTTCCATATACTCGTTTACGATTTGGACTCTAATAGGTCGAGCATTATCGTCCATTAAGATGAAATCCTCTCCCAGAGTACACGCAATACGTCTAACAATAGTATGAAGAATATCATTTCGGTATTTTAAACCTGTCAGGTTGCCTTCCAAAATGTGCAGATCAGTTCTGCAGTCAATACGTATGCCTGCCCAAATCATCACCAAACCTCCATTTACTCTGTATTGCTCAGAAATGACACTATCAGCATATCTTTCCCCATTTGCAATCCAAACAAGTCTTCTGACATCATGGATGTCAAAACAAAATCGTGACTCGTCTGAGAAGAGAACAAAACACCACTGACATTATTGCCAAATGTTTGTGTTCTGTTACCCACTGTAGTCGATTTCTGCGGCACTCTAATTTTAATACAGGACGTGCG